GTAGGTTCACTGGTAGTTTGGGATAGTAAATCAAATGGCTATATTTGTGTTGTAGACATTGTGACTTCTGGTTCCTATCGCCACCACTGTAAAGAAATCTCACATCAGAGCACTCTGAATGACTTTGTTTACATCTCAACAATTGAATTATGGAGAAATATTAACAAAATTGATTTAATTTCCCTTTTAAATAAGTTGGATATAGTTTTGATATTGGTGGCAAATTCATGGAAACTGAATGTTATTGTAGATACTAAATCTGAAGATTGCTGCTGTTTCTCATTAGGTAGAACAGGATTACTATGAAGCTTGTGAAAGAGCGAATATTTTGTAGGCGGAACACAGAGAGTCCAGTTAATGAGCGTGTCTAAAAAGTCCCAAGACCAGGCAATAATTCTCCGTCTATAATAACACCCAGTTCAATAGCCTGACCAACTCAGTCAATCAATACAACTGAAATTAACGCTCCCTCTAGAGACTTTGTGGTGTGCACCACCTGTTAAAAGTTCAGGGACACCTGGACTAAATGTTTTAAAGGGTCCATATCCTACATTTTTTATTGTGTTTAAGGGTCCATTGTGTGAGTTTACACACAAAAAACAGATGTAATTCATTTTAATCTGCCCATTTTTTTATTTTTCTTTACCTCTTGGAGTTAAACAAGCTGTTTCTTTATTGTGTCTTTAAATTTCAATATTTGTGAGAATCCTTGTGACATTACTACCTTGGGAATAATCCCAAAGGCCTCACATCTTCTTGTGATGTCAGCACTTAAGTCTTTCAGGTGTTTAAACCAACTTTTTTTTTCAAATTTCAGTTTCAGTAGGTGCTTTTAACAATAGCAGGCAAAAACCACAAACCTCAATACAAAATGCTGGACAATATGATCACTTTTACCATTTTACCATTATTTACCACCATAAAATAATTTTCAATTTTTTAGAGCTTCTTTTTTGCCATCCTTCTTTTATACCAGTTTTTAGCTGCACAACCTTATGGTGCCTTCATTGTCATATTTAGCACATAACGTGCCACATGTTTTGAGTGGGGACTACAGGCAGGCCAGTCCAGCACTCACTGTGTCTGAGCTCTGATTATGCCACGCTGAATGTGACTTCTTGTTGTCATGTTGAAAAAAGAATGGAAAACGTGTTGTCTAGAAGGCAGCACATGTTGCACCAAAATGTGTATCTTTTAATCTTAATAGTGATTTAACCCTTTAAATGGCCAGGGCCCACCAGCATGCCCAAAGTTTTATTACACACTTCCTAAGAATAGCTCAGCCAGATTGCATGGAAGTCCCTGTAGTTACTGAATAATAAGCCTTAGTCTGTAACAAGCCTTGGATTTTTAAGAGATCAACAGATAAGTTATCCAGGCCATGGGCACTAGCACATCCCTATACTGTGACAAACCCTGGCTTTTGAACTTTAGGCAGGTAGCAATCTGGATGGTCCTTTTCTACTTTGACCCAGATAACATGGCGTCCATTATTTCAATAAACAATCTAAAAGGCTGACAATGCACATTTCTATTTCAGATTAGCTTGAGCCCAGAGAAGTTGGCAGTGTTTCAGGATGTTGTTGAAATATGGCTTTGTATGGTACAGTCTTAACTGTAGATTCAGCGACAAATGGTATTTACCGACAATAGTTTGTCAAAGCATTCACCCACGTGGTGATATTCGTCACAGAAGCATGTCGTTTTTTTAAAGTAATGCCCTCTGCAGGCATCAATTTATCAATTTTAAAATGAAGTTGATATTAAATACCTTGCCTTGGTTTTGGTGTAAATACAATTCAAGATACATTTACAAATAAACTTTGTATTTTTTTATTTGTGTTTAAATAAATCACACATACTTACAAACTTGGAATTGACATGCGTGTATATATATATATATATATATATATATATATATATATATATATATATATATGTGCCTGTATATACATATACCTGCCTGTATGTATACATATATATATGTGTGTATATATATATATATATATATATATATATATATATATATATATATATATATGCCTGTTGCCCTTTACATTGTGTACATTGAAATGCCCCAGTCTGGTTCCATTGACTTACATTAAAAGTGAAGCATGTTTTTTCCTTCTCCTGTAAAGTTACCATTTTGGAGATACAAAGTTTTATTCCAAAAGCAGCGATATATATATTTATATATGTGTGTGTGTGTGTGTGTGTGTATGTGTGTGTGTGTGTGTGTGTGTGTGTGTATGTGTGTGTGTGTGTGTGTGTGTGTGTGTGTGATATGTTTCATATTAACAAAACCTTAGTAGGTATTTATTCTTAATGAACTCAGAAGTAACACTGATAATCAAACATTTCTCAGAAAATCCTAAAAGGCACGTTGGAGAACATTCTACATGGAGCAATGTGACCAAAAGAACCCGCGGTTTCAGATAACCTATGAGGAGACTGAAGGATAAATAGTCACAGCTTTTCTTTAGAATAACAAACTGCCTTTCCTGAAGACAAATCTGACAGTAGCTATTTGGAGGACACTGCAGGTTACGTGCTCATGTCTAAAAACAAGCTTGTGTTTAATCAACGGTGCTAGACAAGGTTCAGATTCCTCCACGTGCAACACCGTGTGTCCTCCCTTTATGACTGTGGCTGACAGCAGTGATGAGGAGAATGACCCAACAACATCAGAGTGTTGCCAAGAGTGTGTGTGTGTGTGTGTGTGTGTGTGTGTGCGTGTGTGTGTGTGTGTGTGTGTGTGTGTCTTTTACAGAAATGCTGACAATTCCGACAGAGAACAGTGACTCCACTCTTAACATCAGTCAGGTCAGAGAAATCCACACACTTGCTCTATTTTTAGCCGTCACTGCTCAGAAACGGGACATTCAGTATTCAGAACTGAACTGTGCAAAAGTCATAGACCACCCTTTATTCGATTTCCAGTCTAAACCTAAATACAAGTTATTCTTTGTTATATTTTTAAAGAGATATTTAAGAAGAGATCAGTTATGAGATTCACTTGTATGTGGAACTGAAGTTCAAAACGGGACCCTTAACAACCATGCAAGACCTAGTAGACCCCCAAATCTGTCACCATCAGATAAACAGTACTTAAAGCTTTCATCTTTGAGAACAATATCAAGCTCCACTCTTGCTTCAGTATGTCTGTCCATCCCTCCACTGTGAGAAGACAACTCAGCGCTATGGATCTGAAAGGATGTGTAGCTATCAAGAAGCCTCACTGAGAAAAGGAAACACAAAAGCTGCTGGTGTTCCCAGAGCAGTGGACTGGTCACCCCAGAGTCCAGACCTCAGCATCACTGAATGTGTTTGGGATTATTTGGATTGTGAGAAGCAGAAAATTGCAACCAACTTTTAAGACTGAACTTTGGAGGTGTGGAAAAATATCCCTGCAGATTTCTTTGAAAAACTGAAAACAAGTTTCCTGATAATAGTGGAAGCTGTAATAAAGGCAAAGAGTGGACACAGTAAGTACAGACATGTTTGCACAGTAAATACAGACATTTTTGATTTTATATTTAGTTGTTGAGGCTTCTGTGCAATTGTCTGTTAAACATCTTCTGCTTTTCCGCTTTTTCCAAATGCTGAAAAATTAATTTTTTGTACTTATCCCCGGTGTGGTGTTCAGGTCTATGGGATCCATTTTCAATGTTTACCAAAAGAAAAAATGATGCAATTTATTATTATTTCTACCTCAGATTCTTGTCCTTTGCTCATTTTCTGTGAAGAACATATAAAATAACCCATTTTCAGTGCCTTCACTCTGTTCACCCCCCACACAGTTATATTACACATGTGTTGGGGTGAATCCGTGGGGAGTAAAAGTGTGGAGGTGCTGCTCTGTTCTCCTCCTACATGGCCTGCTGTTAGTGTGTGTGTGTGTGTCTGTGTTTGTATGTGTTTGTATATGTGTGTATGTGTTGGTATATGTGTGTGTGTGTGTGTGTGTGTGTGTGTGAGTGTGTGTGTGTGTGTGTGTGTGTGTGAGGGTGGACAACATGGACAGGCTGCTGACTGGCTAGAGCTGCTAAAGGAGAACCCCACGCTGGACATTTGTGATATTTTAAACATCTGGTATTTTTATATCAATTTTTATTTGTAAAATTTTTTATTCATTGTCCATTTTATCAGCTCCACTTACTATATAGGAGCACTTTGTAGTTCTACAGTTACAGACTGTAGTCCATCTGTTTCTCTGCATACTTTGTTAGCCCCCTTTTACCCCCATGAACCCTCACAGAGCAGGTACTATTTGGGTGGTGGATTATTCTCAGATCAGACACAGCAGTGCTGCTGGAGTTTTTAAACACCTCAGTGTCACTGCTGGACTGAGAATAGTCCACCAACCAAAAATATCCAGACAACAGTGTCCTGTTTGCGTTATTACTCTTGTGTAATTACATGAGAGAGAATAGGCTGTTACAACTATTAAGATACACTTGTGTAATTACATGAGGCAAAACTGAAGTTGAAAACATGTGTAATTCCATAGGATGTACTTCTGTAATCCATCTGTAACAGTGACTAAATCATTAGTAGTTACATTGTTGTTCACATGTAACTACACAGTTATGAGACAATATAAAATAGGACCGAAATTTTATATTCTGGGCAGTCAGTTTTCACTTCAGGACAGCTGATGTGATGTTTTGGGATGGCTATTGGACACATCCAGGACAAATCCCTGTTTATTATGTAATTAGCTGGAGAATTTGTGTAAACTACATGCATATCAAAATGACAACAACTCCAGACGTATAAGAGTTAATCACATGAATCATCTGTAGTCTAATACTTGGGGAGAATGCAAACATTTAAGCACGTGTCACAGTATCTCCCGTTGGTTTGCCGTCAGCAGTAATCATAAAGTCTTGATGAGCTGAACTTGAGAAGGCTGAGATCTCTTTCGACCCCCCTTCAGTGGGGCTGTGACACACGTGTAGGTTAAAAGCTCTTGGGATTAGTCATTCTGCCCATTCATCACTAGAGTAAACCAATCGGTAAATGCTTAACATGATGTACGGGTCCCAAAATAGCAGCGCAGCGTTATTTAAGCTGCACTCAGCAGTGAAGCACCATCATTGATTGTTAGTTATCAGTCACACTAAAAGCTATTATCTAATGTAATTCGGGCGTAGCTGGAGAAGATGCACTGCCTGAGCAGAACGCCCAGGTCATACCTGGTCAACTCGTACAGTGATGTGAAGGAAAATGACGAGGCTAGGAGGAATCGTACGAGGCCACCTGGCTGGACCTGGTGATGGAGACGAGGCCAGAATACAGGTATGTTTCTCTTATTTCCTTGTTCTTCATAAAGAATGTCAGAATAAGTAACAAAGAAGTCACAGGAGGACCACTTTTGGTTCCCTAAAGAATCTTTCCATGGATGGAGAACCGTTTTTGTGAGTGAGACTGTGAAGAACATTTTGATGCAAAGCTTTTACAGCAATGAAAAGTTTTTCCTAGAACCATATGTCCAAGCCAAGAACCTTTATTCTTAAAGAGATACTCTGGCCAAAATTAAAAAGTTAACCAGCACTATATCTGTTGTAAACATGCCTACTCACCTCTTACAGCAGTTCTGGTAGTCCTAACAGTGAGGTTTTCTGGTTTAAAGACTAAGAAACTCCCCTTCTGATGATGTATTTTGAAGGTGAAAATGAATGTTTTGGTGTGGATACTTGGAGGTGGACTGAAATTGTGCTAGCTGGGCTGAATGATTCCTTTAAGAAAGAAAAAAACTTTTGACTAGTTGGGGTTAGTGCCATATCACTAATGCTAGCTTCACTACAGATGTGTTTTCTTAGCTAGCAATTAGGATTTGTTGAGCACGGTAGGGATATCCCGATAACTGCGTAATGCATTCTGGGTATTGTAGTGAGAGACTGCTGAGGGACAAAAAGACAAAAATGATCCAAAATTGTGAAACTGATGAGGCTGAGAGACACAATGTTGCGCTACATAACATAGCAATGCATAATCTTAAATGCTAGTTTTAGGCCAAAATGCCCCTTTAAGAATGTGACCTCTGACCCTAAAAGCTGTAACCTTACAACAGGGCTTTTTAAGTAAACTGCACTTAAGAAAATTGATAGACAGACTTAATATACAACAATTAATATTAAGTAACTTGAATAAACTTATTTTGCACTATTGGCTCCACATTAGAATCATTTGCATAGATAATATAATCACCGTGAGAATTTGCTAAGTAGAATATACATGGCCACTTTATTAGAAACCCTTAGCTTGTAGTTTAGTAGATTCACAATTAGTATAAGCCAGCCTCAAGCCCTTCATCAGTGGTCAGTGTCTGACCACAGAACTGCTCTTGACTATATAATATTCAAGAGGGATTTGCCACCCAAACAATATCAGCTCAACAGCAGTTTTGTGGTCAGACACTGAAATATCACAAGTGACTGGCAAATGGGCTACAGTTTGTAATTGTATACCTATATAGTGGAGCTATGCATACATACATCATCTAAACTGCTTATCCTTCTGGGTCGCGGTGGGGTGCTGGAGCCTATCCCAGCCGTCATTGGGCAGAAGGCAGGAAACAACCTGTACAGGTCGCCAGTCCATCACAGGCACAAACACTCACAGACATACACAATCACACACTCACTCACACCTAGGGACCATGTCCAATTGGCCTGACTGAATGCTTTTGGACTGTGGGAGGAAACCCACAGGAGAAACCCACGGGAGAACAGGCAAACTCCACACAGAAATGACCCTGGTCGCCCGGCCGGGAATCAAACCCAGGCCATTCTTGCTGTGAGGCGACAGCGCTACCCACTGCGCCACCGTGCCGCCGGAGCTATGCAGTGTGTGTTTAATAATAATATATATAAAATGCAATAATGGTAATAATCTGTAACAGAATGTAGTGGTCATCAAGGGTGTGAAAAAGGTCAGAGACCCTTCATGTATTTACTCTGCATTCAAAATAACCATAAAGTAAAAGTTATTCCTATTTAACTGGATGTTTTTCTGAGGAAATTAGATATGAGATAATCCACTTGCATATGGAAGGAGAGTCAAATGAAAAGTGAAAAAAAAACATGAGATTCCAAAAAAAATTTAAGGTCAGACAAAATGAGACTCTTAACAACTATGCAAGACCTGGTAGACCACCAAAACTACCTCCATCAGGTACTTACAAACAGTAACTAAAGCTTCCATCTGTGAGGAGAAAAGTCCATTCTTGCTTCAAATCTGCAAAAAGTCCACAGATATTTCTGTCCATCCTTCCACTGTGACAAGATGATGCTATGGGTTTGAAAGAATGTGTAGCTGTCAAGAAGCTGTTACTAAGGAAACAAAATAGACAAAAAAGAGAAGAAAGAAGCTGCTGGTGTTCTCAGAACGATGGCTGCCCCAGAGCCTAAACATCAACTTCATTGAAAGTGTTACTTTTTTGTTAGATACAGAAAAAACAACCAACTTCTAGGACTGAACTTTGGAGGTGTGGAAAATATCCCTTCAGACGTCTTTAAAAAACTGAAAGCAAGTTTTCTGAAAAGAATGGAAGCTGTAATAAAGGCAAAGCATGGACTAAAAACTAAAGAATCTGATGTATTTAGTTGTTGAGTCTTCTGTGTAGATTCTGTTAAATGTTTTCTGCTTTTGTCCCTGACTTTGAAAAATCTGCATTTAACTGGAAAGTAGATGAAGGTTATGCTCTGCCTTTTGCACAGTATTATAGTCTTTTAAAGTCTGTCAGGATTCATGTTCAGCTCGTTGGAATGATGCAATATTTATTATGACTGAATACCTTTTCTTGCAGAAACACGCTCGCCGAGAAAGACTTGTCAAGGAAGGAGAGTTACGAGCGAAAGCAGGTGGTTCATTTCATCGTCCGCAGATTCCCCAACCAGACGCTTTGCATCGGCCAAGATGGGATGAAGATGCGTGAATATTTGCTACCTTACAAAAATGTTCTCCCAATACCGATTTTCGTGCCTCGGGACGTCACAGCTCTGCACGAGACCTACCAGGAGCCGTCTCCTCCCTATCTGCAGTCAATCATGGACAGTGAGAAGAGCTGGAGCGAGAAGAGAGAACCAGAGCCTGACATGAAAGGCAAACCGCAAGTAATCCAGCCCGACAGGGTGGAATTCAGGGCATCAGGCCTCATCTCGCCGCCAAGGGACGCAGCCCAAAGGATATGATATGTGTCACTTACAGTAGACTTAAACTGATGTTTACAGTTTTGGTACAATACATGTCCAAAAGTTGCACACCTGTTCAGCCAACTTCCAAAAATCAAGGATATTTATAGTAGATTTGTCCCTCTTTGCTGCAGCAACAGCTTCTACTACTTTGCAAGGGCTTTACACTACATGTTGGAACATGGCTGTAAGGATTTAACTGCGTTCAGACACGAGCAAAAGTGAGGTCAGATACCGATGTTGGATGGTCAGTTCTGGATCACTGCAACTCATCCTGACCTCATTAAACCTCCGGAGAACGTAGTTTCACTGCTCCACAGCCCAATGCTAGCAGGCCTTATAGGCCACTTACCTATATTTGGCACCTTAGGCTTGTGCGGCTGCTCCAGAGCTATTCTACTGGCAATGCCTTTCTATGGAGATTATATAACCAGTGTGTGTGCAGGTGAAAGCCTGTGCCAGTAATGGGCGCACCTTAAAGTAGATGAATTCACTTATTAGATGGAGTGTCTGGATACTTTTGGACATGTATTGTATGTTTGTATGGCACACAGTAGTTCCATTTCAAGGTATGAGGACTGTGTTATGCTGTTGGTGCGGGGTTTACTCAAAAGGCATGTGGTAAAAGCACAGAATGAGTCATTTTACAATGAGAGGCTCTGTTGTGTCATTTTTAAAGGATTTATTTGCCAGTTTGAACAGGTTAATGAATTTGTTTAACTTCCCCAAATTTCCACAGATGTCCTAGATTGAAAGGTCACAAAGTCAGGAATACACAACAAGCACCACACTCAACGACAATAACAACACAGAGCATGGACAAGTCTTTTAGCAGGTTATATTATTCCTTTAGTTGGTTTGGAACATGATTACTGTTAGTGTAGGAGCTCCAGGTTCAACCAATCACAGAAGGCAATTATTACTCAACTGTACGAATGATGGACTACAGATCTTGACGGTTTCCAGTTTTATTGATGATACACATCCAGCTCTAACAAGGCGCTAAACTGTCAGAGGAAGATGCAAGAAAGTGGAGATGAGTGCAGCAATGGTGGTCTACTAATGTGTTGAAAAGAAGGTGGCTGAGCTGTATTGCATAATAATTTCTGTAATTTGTAATTTGCTATCTATCAAAAAATAATTATTTTAGTGTTATTAATGTTGTAACGATTCAGCATATTGTATTGTCTCATTGTCTCATGTATGTTAGCCTGTTAGCTTGTGTCTAGCACATTAGCTTGGAGCTAACATATTAGCTTGTGGCTAGTGTGTTAGATCAAGGCACTACAAAGCAAAGTTTACTTTTATATGTTGAATGAACTGAAAATGAAACTTTAATATATAAATATGAGCTTTTTTTAGGCACTACTTATTTTTACTGTATTGAAACATTTATTAAATTAAGACATGACTATCATATCGAACTGATTCAGGAATTTTGTCTGTTACACCTAAAGCATGATTCATGTTACATGCGTGTGCATAAACAGTCATACATTTGAACATTTGAACATTTGATTCAATCATTTCAACAGGTTCCACATAACGGATTTAGGAATATTCTGCTTAAAAATAATGGTTACTTGATTTATTTATCATTTATTTAATTCCAAAATCATTAGTTCATGTTAATGTTTGTGTTTTTCTTGGGTTATTACTGCATAAATTAACTGAATGAAATGAACATAATACAATCGAATTCTTTCAGCTAAATCCAAATGTGTTGTTTTTAAAGAACAGATTCAAGTCAGTGTAACTTGATTCTTTTTATTAGTTATTTTAATTATTTTATCAAAAAAAGTCAACAGGTTCCACACATTTAAATTAAGTACATCCAAATAAATCAATTCATTTTCCTTCATTTTCAAGTCTCACGAATCAACAACTAAAAATGAGAGGATAATTATATTTTATTAAATTGAGTTTCTTTAAAAAGTGGATGAAACTCACAAAATGAAACATAAAATGCAACATATCAAACCAACATGAGCGCAAAGATCGAGGATCTACAATGTAAATTTCTTTTTATAAAATGGATATTTACGGTCCTAAAATCTGATTGGCTGAGCCATGTTCTCATCCTTGCACTGTCAATGGATTAATCTTTGACCCCAAGCTGCTTGTGTCGACCCCCGAGTGTACTGATGAAGTAAGAACCTATTTTTTGTTTAAACTGAGCGGCTGACAACCTATGTTCTTAACTAGAACTAGGCTGGTCAGCTAGCTAACAGGCTAAAAGATAGCAAACAGCCTAAACAGCTCCATCATTAATATCACAGGTCTAAAATAAGGAAACTTATGATTCACTAAAAAACAGCAGTATAAAAGTCTAAAAAAATGTCACTTGAATGTTTTACACGCTTCAAATGTCCATGTTTCAGTCAGAAACATGCCAGTATGGATGTGGCTAAATCCCAAACAATTTTTATAACTATTTTTAATGACTATTTAATAGCTGTATTATGCACTGTTGGGCTGCAGGATCCAGCATTTAAACTCCTATGTAGTGCACTATGTAGGGAGCAGGGAGACATTTGAGATTCAGCCCCAGAATGAGAAGAGGGCCCCGCTGAATTGGTGCTAAATAAGACTCGTGGTGGTAATTTGGTGATTAAAAAGTACTTATAAAGCGAAAGCGAAATGACTGCAGTATACAGCGATAGGTGACCGAACGTTCTCCTCATTCAACGGTCCATAGTTGCTTTGTAATGATACCATACACTAAAGGAACTGCATTTCTTGGCGGAATACTTGTTTATGTTGATTATTACAAATAATAACTTAAATTACGTTATGAAAAATGTGTACTTTATGGTATTTTATGTTGGCCGCCGTTTTATAAAAGAAGTAAGCCACTTGAGGTTACTGCACTTGCGTTACTGCAATTTCATCATGTGGAAGGGTGTTTTTAGGTACCACTCAAAGTGGAGTGCCTGAGAAAACCCTTCCCTGTAATAAAATCGCAGTAAGACATGGCCTTTCGTGGCTAATTGCTGTATTTGACCACCTTGACCATCCTAATTTGACATACTGCTGGTGTACATTATAATGTGCAGAAGTGTGTTCACTTACAGTATTTTTCACTTGTAAAATCAACAATGCAGACAACTGAACGGGCTTTATTTGTGTCTGGTGATACATACCAAAACAAGCATCCTGATCTTTGACAGGCACATCATTTCACTCAGAATTAGATAATGCCTCACTACAGCAAACAGACAAAACCCATTCTATGCTTTAAACCTGTGTTTCCAAACCCTGATCCCATCTGCTTCCCCAGACCTGAGGTTATCATGGGTGTGGTAGGTGAGGGAAACAGGGGTTTGTGAGGGGCAGCATTAGTGAACGCAGTTCTAAAATCTTGACTGCCATCTAGAGGGAAAGTGCTTGAGTTGCTGGTGTTTGTTATGGAAATATTGTACAGTAATTACATTGTATACTTGTTTACTACATAATAAAACTTTTCTGTTGCCATTGTGATGTTTTCTGATCTGTGAATTAAAACATATTATATGTAGAATGAGAGGCCAACATACCAGATCTAGTCTGTAGACGTTTCTGTGTCACATTTCTGGATTACAGTCACTTTCAGAGCCTGAAATAGTGAGTGAACACCTGTGCCCATATAAATGACTTAAAGGGGGATTCCACCCATTTTTCAAAAAATTCTACATATTGAAAGGTTGACATGGAAACAATTCAGAGTAGTTTAGTGTGAAACACTCAGTTCTAGAGAAACTTACTGAGTCAATAACTGTTCACAGTGGTGGTCATAGGAACCAGACGTCCACCTCTAAAAGCTCCCTCACAGAAAGTTATTAAACTGGTTTTGAACACATTGCATGGCCTCCCATCAGTTCAGTGATTTCCAACCCTCATCCTGGTGTACCCCACTGGTCTACACAGTTTAGTGATTTCCCTGCTCCCAACACACCTGATCCAACTAGCACCTAATTAATAAGGCCTTCCTGAACTGAAGTGGGTGCAGGAAAGCACAAAAATGTGTCTATTCTCCTGGTCCAGGGTTGGGAACCTGTACCTCAGAGCAAATCAATACAAAGTTTTCATTCAGATCAGCTTTATCCTATAATGAAACATTTCTATCCTGGTGGTCTCTTCCAGGATGACAATGCCCCCATCCACAGGACATGAGGGGTCACTGAATGGATTGATGAGTATGAAAATGATGTAAATAATATATTATGGCCTTCACAGCCACCAGATCTCAACCCAGTTGAACACCTATGAGGGAATATCAAACTATCCAACAGTGTTTTATCCCAGTACAGCTCTATAGACTGTAGAATCGATGCAAAGATGCACTGAAGCTGGTTACTTATGGTGGCCCCACACTGTACTGAGACACTTTATGTTGGTTTTTCCTTTAATTTCTTAATAAATTACATGTATTTCAGTAACATTTTGATTGATTTGTACTTTGTTCCATTTTATCTGGCATTAAGTTTAGTTTTAGTTTCGTTCGGTTCTGTTGGTTCAGCACCTGAACTGCTTGGCTGCCGTTCTCACCACACACTTTGGATCTTTAGCATTTAACTTTGGGCTAAATAGATCCCAAATAAAGAATCTAATAAATGTAATTTCCTACGCTGATGTACTCAGTACTTGAGGAGTTGCTTGACCTGCTACACTATATGGTCAAAAGTATGTGGACATACTTCTCCTAATTATTGCGTTCGGGTGTTTCAGCAGCCCCCATTGCTAACAGGTGTATAAAATCAAACACATAGCCATGCGTTATCCATACACAAATATTGGCAGCAGAATGCGTTGTAGTGAAAGGCTCAGTGGCTTCAAACGTGGCACTGTAATAGGGTGCCACCTTTGCAAATGTCTGCCCTGCTAGATCTGCCCCAGTCAACCGTAAGTGCTAATGTTATGAAATGGGAGTGTTAGAGAACAACAACAGCTCAGTCCCAAAGTGGTAGACTCATCCCAGAATTTCAAACTGGAGGCAACATTAGCACAAGCAGTCATGGCTGAGCAGCTGCACACAAACCTAAGACTGCAATGCCAAGCTTGTGACTCTTATGGCCGCAAAAGAGGCTACCAATGGCATTTACAAGTCCCCACTGTTTTGGAATAGGACGTCCAACAAACTATATAGTTGGTCAGGTATGTCTGTTCTCGCGTTTCGTGTGACGTCACACTGTACAGTTGCCTCCATTTTGAGGACTGAATCAGGGAGTGACTGCACTGCGTGATGCTTTCAATTTGACGTGCTTTGTGAATGATTCACCTGCAAGACGTGACAGAAGCTGAGAGACACACAGACCTCTAATTCAGTGTTTTTTCAAACTCCAGGCTTGGAGCTCCTGCACTGTATAGTTCAGTGTTTCTCTCTGCTGTTCACCTCGTTCAGCTCAAGAAGGGATTAATTAGCTAATAATATCAGGTATTTTAACCAGGAAACCACAGTTATGCAGTGCAGGGGTTTCAGGACTGGAGCTGAACTCTGAACTAACTGCACTAGCAAAACTTACAGAATCATGTCTGTAGAAACACGACGTCGTTTTCAGACCCACGACATTCAGTCTGATATTTAACGTTCATGTTTCTCCATTTAAACGTCATTTAAATCTCCAGAAACAGAGAGTAAAGTTATCCCGGCTGTCTGCAGCTCCGTTAGGGGGCGACTGTTCATCTCTCGGCTGTTAACATCAGCTAAAGTTATCTAAAGGCCAGCATTGATCTCATCTGTGTTAATTAGCTGATCTTGTTCCCCCTATGATGACAGAGTGTTTCTCCTCTTTATGCAACACCATGGGATCCTTTACCCACCCTGGCGTGAAGAGCCGGTGGGCTTCTGTGCTTTTAACTGCTTTGAGAGACTCCAGAACAGGGAGAGGGGCTGAGTATGAGATAAATATAAACGTCAGGAAACACAAATTTGGTAGCTTTTCCGCCAGTTTGAGTGGGACCAGGAGTTCAGGGGGAAACTGTTTAAGGATCACAGACTATTTTATTGACTTTGTCGAGGAACGTTTTTCTCTTCCAGAGTAAGGAAAGTAAATTTTAGCCATCTTTCACCTCTAATTATGTTCATGCAGAGCAGCAAAGCCAGAAATTCAGTCCCAAATATGGCCACAACAGAAAAATCACGTGACTGAAACCCTTGGATGCACTTTTGTCCATATAATGTACTTCTTTGCCCCTAAGTTATTGTTTTGCTAGATTGTTTTCACTTCTACTCAAATCATTAATTAAACGAAGCAACAATACTTTTCTTTGAGTATTTTTAGGCAGTATTATTTAGGCAGCTTTATCCACCTTTGATCTCCTTTATGTTTTAATGGTCACTTGAAATTTGGCAGAAACCCTTTCAGCACCTCGTCTACCTTTTTGTGCTTCTGCAGGCTGACCTGCTGCTGCCAGTACCTGAGATAGAGCTGCATCAGCTTATTCGTGTTTACACAGGGATAATCATAATGAAAGATGTCCATAAGGCCCTCTTTCAGGCCCAGCTCTGCCTCCATCAGGGGGTCCTTGGCTACTTGGTCCAGCAGGTTCTGCTCCAAGTCTTGTCGGTGCCCACAGAAGGGCACTGGGTGGCTATGGAAGATTTCCTGTCTTCTCATTAGCTTGGGCTTTAGTTCCTGCAGTAGAACCTGGGCTCTCTGCTGAAACTGCTCTCCCTCTTTCTCAGCCCTCTGCAGGGCCGTCCCCATGCGCTTCTTCTCTTGCTTCAGCTCTTCACACTCCTTCTGCAGCTGCTTGCATTCCTCCTTATGCTGCTGGGTCTGGATGACCAGGGCTTCTTTATAGCTCTGAGCTTGCTGTCGGGTCTTCTGGAGCTCCTGCTCCAGGTGGAAGTTCTTTATCTTCAGTTTTTTGGTGAGGACGGCCACGTTCTGCTCATCCTTGCCCTGCTTTTCCTTGATCTGCCTCCATAGCCAGTCTGATGAGATGGGCAAAACATAAACGGTCAACGGTCATTACAGCATTTTACAAAGAGTTCAGTACAATTGCAAAGTATAGGTTACAAATACAGTTTCGGGTCAGCCTCTCCAAGAATTAAGTGCCAGGTAAGCTAGCAAAGTACATTCTTATGCTAATACAAATTCTTTGTGGGCAGAAACCATTAAAGGGCTGCTATTTCTTGTATTGTAATTTTCCAGCCTCTTGAAATATGTAAATTATCTCTGCTGTGATTCCCCATCAATGTGCCTCATTCAAAAAGCAGTCATGGCTGAAACACTCCTTATGACTTCAGTGTGAATAGTAACAATAACCTGCTACTTGAGTTCGCTATCGTCTCGAGAGCACAACAGTCCCAGTCTTGTCTCAGTTTCATCGTCTTTTGGACTCAGTCTTGTCTCAGTCTTGGGGTAAAATGGACTTGGAAATTGTTCTCAAAACAAGCTGAGTGCCTCTGTCTGAGGTAACCAGAAACTCTTTTTTCTATCATTACAAACAAACATTTAACCAAAACCTTCAAACAGAATAAAACTATTTCTCTACATGTTTAGATGAAACCTGTTCACTGTCAGTTGGGGATCTAGTTGATTCTTTCCATAATGGTTTAATTTGAATATCCTGAGAATGTTTTTGTTACTATTTTTTCATTTAATAATAAACATGGATGTATTTGGTTTATACTCAGTTGACTTTATGTGGTGGTTCTGAAGGGGTTTTACAGAAGGGACAGATAATAATTTTACCATCATTTGCTACCAAAAGTTACAATGCAAAGTTCTTTACTTTACTTTAGGATATGTTTTATTTAATGTTATATTTTACAAAATAAATGATAAAATATTATACTATTTATTAATATATATCATGTATAATGAGTCATAATTAATGTATAACGAACTACAAATTCATTTCATTTGTCTACAATAAAATCTCGGTTCAACTACTACAAAGTCTTGGTCTTGACTCGGATTAGACTACTACAAAGTCTTGGTCTTGACTCAGACTTGACTTGAGCTTGTCTACTACAAAGTCTTGGTCTTGACTTGGACTTGACTACTACAAAGTCTTGGTCTTGACTCGGATTCGACTACTACAAAGCCTTGGTCTTGACTCGGACTTGACTACTACAAAGTCTTGGTCTTGACTTGAACTTGACTACTACAAACTCTTAGTCTTGACTCAGACTCGACCACCACAAAGTCTTTGTCTTAATGTGGACTCAACTTTTACAAGTCTTGATCTTGATTCAGACACGACTACTACAAAGTCTTGGTCTTGACTTGGACTCGACTACTTCAAAGTCTTGGTCTTGACTCAGACTTTTACCGACCTTTGTGGATTTGCTTCTTGTATGGCAGATGGAAGTCATTATCTGTATTTCATGATCACACATCATTCCTCAGCTTAAGTAAAAGGCTACTTACAAAAGGCAGGAATTGTGCCAAACAGTACACCACTTGCTAGTAGGGCACGGTTCCATTTGCCTCCATCAGCAGCTCCTGGTCGCTCTGGATCAATATTCCACGGAGGAGGATTGTTTAAGTTGTTCATCAGGATGATCTGTTCAAGCAAACAAGTTGAATATTACTTTAGCACTGATGTGGAATATAAACAGGCAATCATGGAACAAAGTGTCCTTTTGCAAAGGAAGTTTTTGTGCACGTTTACCACATCAGCCTACATTGAATACACTCACAATGCAGTGAAACAATGTATAGTTTTCATTAAGTAACACACACACATCTTCTAAGCCGCTTATCCTTCCCGGTCTGGCGGGGGAGCTGGAGCCTATCCCAGCAGTCATTGGGTGGAAGGCAGGATACACCCTGGACAGGTCACCAGTCAATCACAGGGCAGACAGACAGACATACACATTCACACCTAGGGGCAATTTAGGATGTCCACTTGGCCTGACTGCATGTCTTTGGACTGGGGGAGGAAACCCACACAGACACGGGGAGACCATGCAAACTCCACACAGAAAGTACCCAGGTCGCCCGGCCGGGGAACCGAACCAAGGCCCTTCTTGTTGTGAGGTGACAGCACTACCCACTGCACCCCCTTAAAACCCCAGGCTTCTTACATTCTAAGGCGTATTATTCGGACAATACTTATTCCTGAGTCTTGCAACTTATTCTTAAGTGCTCGAAGTGTACATTTATGTGTCTAACAAGAGGTTAGAGGACAGCAAGAATCAGTTTAACTATCAATGCCCATATTGGGACTTTTCTTTAGTCCATATTTTCTCTGTTCTCTTGCATGAGCACGTATCTGATGAAATGTTTCAAATCAGTCATCCCTTAAGGCTAAAATGTGTTTCTTATCAAGTTTTCTACCTTTCAGTCTCACCAGACTGCTGATTTCTAACAAAACAATAGAAAATCCTAACTTGATTCTGAATAAAAATATGAAATTTTCAAACAATAAACAATTTATTCAAATTATGTTTCATCCAGATCATAACGATGCAACATTTTATCTCTTTGGACCAATAACAATAAAATGTGTGGCATCAAAGATTTCCTGTATGTGATTTCAACACTCTCTTGTAAAAGAAAACAGTTTGTTGATTATTTATTTATTATTTATTAATTATTTAAGCAAAACCTGCTCTTTGCTAGTGCTGAATATTCCAACAATATTAGGAAAAAGCATAATTTGTCAATCGCTATTTAGTTTGTTTTTTTTATTTCCTTTTCATATAATATGGCATGCATTTATTTTCCATCACAAATAAATAGATGTGTTTAGTACCAAAAATAAGACAAGTTTTTTACACAGTAAGTATCTACTATCAGTCTTGGTGAATGGGAGTCCAAGAAAGCAAAGGATGGTTAGGATGGGGGAACGGAATGGCCTCCCTTTCTCCCATCACTCGGAGTGCTAATACTGAATCCCATACAATAATGAGTAGAATTAAGTAGTTGCTAGCATAAATGACAGCAATGTACCTCAACATTTAAATCAGTAAAATCTAGCTGATTTTGAATGATGTGCACTAGCTAGCTTTGTTACATTAGTTACCCTGGATTGAGTAGCGCCGCAGTGGAGAAGGATAGGTTTTGTTACAGCACTTCTGCGCAGCTGTAAGTAAAGTAAGTTTCATAGTTTTGATCCCTGCTCCTCATCTGTCACTTTCAACAACAGTCTGTGGTACAGTGACAGCAGGAATCACATCACATGCATCAGAAGAGTGAACTTGTCAAGTTTTTTGACCTGTTGGAGTCTTTTATTTGGCTAGTTGAGCTGTAGCTGAATGTCCCCTATTTGGAAATGTCCCTGGTTTTCATTTTAGAAATCTGGTTATCTTAATTCCACTGTGTACAGACAGAGCTACATTAAATGTAACCTCTGCCTACAGCTCTGTTTGTGAACAATTATCAATAAAGCCGTTTCAATCAAAACAACACATTGTGGACACAAGTACTGAGCAGAAATGTTGAGAAACTGAGCAGCTTTGCTAACAGTGTGCACTGAAACTAAAAGCAGGCAGTGATGTACATGGATAGGACAATATGGTCCCCCTACAGCCCATTTTACAAAGAAAGTTGAATAAATCACTATATAATAAAGTTTATACTTTGCAATTATTTTCAATTAAACAGATCAAAGTTGGAATATAAGGACTTTGGTAGCAAATGTTGAAGAGTAGGTGTTCCTCTCCAGGCCTGTTGAGCTTGTTTGGCAAGCCTGTTGGTGGTAGCATCGTGTGACGAGGAGACCAAGCCAGCTGGTAGAACTGGGCATGACTAAACTGTGGAGAAAATCTGGGTAAAAATCCAGTAAGTATATCGCTGCTGTTGGAAGAAAACCTTGCATCTCCATTGTTGTCATTTTTCAGTTTTTTACATAATTTGAAAATGCCTGTTGCCCTTTACATTGTGTGTAAATTTCATGATGAACGGAGTAAAAGAAACGACTCAAAATGACTTGGAAAAATGTCTGGTTCCATTGACTCACATTAAAAGTAAAGTATGTTTTTTCCTTCTCCTGTAAAGTTCTCATTTTGGAGATACGAGGTTTTCTTCCGACAACAGCGACATATTGTATACTGTATGCTGCTCAAATAGTGGTATACAGTATAGTATCCAGTGTGCAACAATTGCCATCATCTACTAGGCTCCATACTACAGTGTCACATGACCACAAGGCAGTTATGTTCATGGCTACATCCTTCTGAAATGACCATAAAGTAGTATATTCCAGAGAGCTCTGGCTGCATTCTGGAACATTTGTTCTAGAAGTTTCTTTGGCATGCTGGAGAGATTCATGTTGGTCACATACTGTGTACTATTTACCCTAGTAAGTTTTATGAGTCAGGTGTGAATCAACTACAGAGGTTTAAATGCTGCTCATTTAGACTGATGAAGTACCAACGATGTGCAATTTTATCCACAAAGTGTCAGAGCAAAGTGTCACCCAATCAAGGGCGATTCTGCTCCATTTCAGCCTTAAAAAGTGGAAAACTTACCGTAGACTCCAATCCAAGCGCTCAGCACTGAGAGAATAGCTCTTAACTCACTCACTCATTCCCTGAATTCACTGAATGGGCCCTTGACGGGGAAACGAGCGTACATGTTATACTGGTTATACCTGGGCGTTGCAGAGAAAAGAGCTGACAACACATTGAACAATTTTTTTGAACCAGCCAAGAATCTTCACCCACTTCTTAAAAGAGAGAGACAGAGAAAGACAGAGGGCGCAAGAAAGACAAGGGTCTTTGATTAGAGTGCAAGGGATCAACCCCTTAAAATCCCGGTCTTATTACTTATTACATACTAAGGCTCATTATACAGACCCAATCCCATTTCTTCTTTTTACCCCTACCCCTTGTTTTCGAGGGTCACCCTAACACCTTGGAACTGTGTTACAAGGGGTAGTGGATGAAATCTTGCCCTACTAAATGGGACCCTCAAATAAAAAGAACCACTTCATTAGCAGCTACCAGCGCTGCTCTGTAGGCGACCCGGCCCGTCTTCACTGATAACAGAGGAGGGTAAAGTTCAGCTCCTCACTGCTGGGCTTCAGTTACATTTAGGGCATCATATGCCTTTAAAGAGGGGGGGCAATTATTTATTATCACCCACTGCTAATTCCTCAGTGATACGAAGCTGAAGTCAGATATTCACCAGCTTCTTGTTCAAATTTTCCCGTTCCACCTTAAATGGTGCAGCAGTTACATTCTGGTGCTTCAGGCGTCAGAACTGCTGGACTATTTAAGGTGGAATGGGAAAGTTAGCTAGCTAGCTACCGAGACATTAGCAATTCTATTTGCGATTTTTTATGCTTGTTTTGAAGAAAACGACCATAATACACTGAAAAAACATTAAACTAAGATAAAACAGTGGTTATTGTAATTTTTTAACAGAGAAAATTCTCACATTTTTGGGTTTCTTTGGTCTCTTGATCAGCCATCTTACCGGTTTTTCTTTTTTTCTCATAACACTCTGTTTGGAGTCTCTGAAAAACGTCTGTTTGAAGAATCATGCAGCCGTAACACGTCACCCAAGGATTATCTTATCTATCTTACATAAAAGTCACTCATGTGAGCCACTGTTGTATGTGAAAAATTATACCTGAATATAAAAAATATTGCAGGGACCTGCAAAATATGGTGGGGACCTGAAGACCTTTAACAGTGAGTGTATTTACATGCACTCAATAATCCGATCATAATCGGATTTCTGCAATTATCCAATTGTTCAAATGGTCATATAAACACCATACTCCGATTTAGAAATCCGATAAAGAGGCTGGATTTTAGCTCAGTAATCAGATTTCTCAGTGCATGTGAACTCTTACTCTTATTTCTTTCGGATTCCTCAGTCTGCAAATGTACCGAAAATAACTGAACAGCAAAACGCTTTTGGAGCAGCACTGAAACCAAACACAAAATAAAGGTAAAGTGGCATGAAGTCTGAGTTTTACGTTATGTTTACATCACAGCTTCTTCTGTGAGTTTATTGCCTAGTTGTAAAGCAGAAATCTGATTACTGTCTGACTCATGTAGACCTTGAGTTTTCTCATTATCTGATTACTCAAGTGCATGTAAACGTATTGATCGGATTACTGACAAAATCTGATTTTCTGTAGTTATCGAATGTAAACGCACTCGAAACGTAATGCTTTGTTTTAGCGTGAGCTTGTATATTCAAAATACTGTTTCTTGTTTGGTTTTAGGCAAAGGTTTTCGCTTTTTTTCCCGTTCCTTCCACCCGTCTGCATGTCTCCGTACGTTTCTTTTTCACACTTGTATAAATTTATTTCTCTTAACTCCTCATTCAAACCACTAAAAATAACAGCTACAATTGCAAATGACAAGTATATGTGAAACATATACATATATATGGAAATATATTATATACACACACACACACATATATATATATGGGACACTATAGGCACACATTTTGTTTCAATTAGTGCAGTTTTAATATTACACTTTAATTCATGATGGAACTTTACAATGATCATTTATATCTGTAGGGACACACTGGTTCAGCTAAAGCAGATACAGTAAGCTCATGCTCTTTGAACTGAACAGCACATGCTCAAAGGGGAATGAAGGTCAATTTTTCATGTGATGAATATGGAAGTGTTGTTATTCTATATGATTGTCAGTAGGTTCAGGAGCTCCCATCCCAAATATTTCCTATTTCATAAATACATCCTACAAGAAAAAAGCAAACCAAATATGAAGTACTGCAAATCCATGAGGCCTGCAACGTCCAGTTGCTATTTAATGCGTCAGAAGACACGCGGTAACTTTTCCTATCATCTTCTACACCACTGGTCTCCAATCCTGGTGCTGGAGCGCCACCTTACTGCAGAGCCTAGGTCCAACCACAAACTGCCACACTTGTTCCAGCTAATCAACCTCTTCCCAAGTCCGTGATTGGCTGGATCAGATGTTTTTGAGTTAAGCAACAGGTGAGACAGCTAATTGGATACAGTAAGAAACTAAACTAAGGAAAGAAGCTCTCCAGGGTTGGAGACCACTGTTCTACACTCTCGAAAATAAAGCTGCCAAAAGGGTATTTGGAGCGATGCTACCGAAGAACCACTTTTGGTTTGCTAATAAACCTTTCAGTGCATGGTTCTTTAAATAAAACTTGATTTAACACACTCGATTAAGGGTTAGGATGCCACAAGAGGTCACTGCAGTCTTCAAATCCAAACCTGGAATCCAGTTTTCAGTCCTGGACTTTGTCATTAGGGGACACTAATCAGCTACATCAACAGCTCAAGAATGGCTCTGCAAAAAAATCAAATTTACCCAGTTTTCCACTTGCCTCAGATGCAGTCGGTCTGGTGAGACATGTCCAAACTTTGCTCCTTTAGTTTACAGCTTGAGCGGCGAGGCTAACATAGCTAACAAACAGTAGAGATCAATAGTCACCCAAATTGCCCACAGTGTTTCTGTAAACTGCAGGTTGAATAAATGTATTTCTCTTAACTTCTTGAACTGGGTCATCACTGCTATCCAGATTAGAAAATTATTAAGGTTTCAATTAAGTATTTGAAGCCTGTAAAATGCTATTCAGACCAGCCCTAAATAAACAAGAACATGCGGTGTCATTGAAGCGAGGCACCACTGTTAAGAAGTACATAGCTAACAAACAGTAGAAATCAATAGTCACCCAAATTGCCCAAATAGTAACTGTAAAAATACATCACCGAAATGTCTTTCAGCTCCTGAAACTGCATCCAGGTCTTCATTAAGGTTGTGCAGACTTGAAAATGTGGTTTAAATGAACAAAACTGCAGGCAGCCACCTTAGACAATATTGTCTGTTCTCACAAACTACCCCAGGAGTAGTTGAGGAGAGCTGATTTAGGATCAGTACCGGAGACAATGACCATCGTACAGAGCAGGGTTTGTCAACCACTGGGCCGAGGACCACGAGTGGACCGCAAAGGACCCCTTGGTGGTCCTTGGACCTACCCTGAGGGGGGCCAGTGGTCCATAGTGGGCCTGTGATGGCACTTTATCATAAAAATCAGTGAAAAAAATAATTAACTTAACAATAAAAAAGAAATATTAAATGCTTCATCAATTTTTGAAAAATGATATTTTTAAGCAAAAACGTTGGGGCCTTGAGGTGTAAAAGGTTGAGAACCTCTGAAATAGAGGAATCTGATCCAAGACCAGTCCTGCTTTGTGAGTACCAGCCCTGGTGTTGCCTGTATCAGTGAAGTTTTGTTCAGTTTTACCTTTACATTTATGGCATTTGGCAGACGACTCTATCTAGAGCGACTTACAGTGTGATCATTTTTACACAGGTAGGTGAAGGTAGTGTTAGGAGTCTTGCCCAAGGTCTCTTATTGGTATATTGTAGGGTGCTTGATTGAACCCCAGTCTACAGTGTAGAAGGCAGAGGTGTTACCCACTACACTATACAAACCACTACATTTCATAGTTTTATAGCTCACAGTAAGTCATACTGTGCTCTAAACCACGTCTGCAAATTTGCACATCCTTAATGAAGACCTGGATATAGTTTGAGTGGGTTAATAGATGTTTTCGGGATGTATTTTTCCAGAAACTATTTGGCCATTTTGGGTGACTACTGAGTTGCAGTATTTCTTAGCCACGTTAGCCTCGTAGCTCCGGTTCAAAACTAAAGAAGCAAAAGTTTGTACTCCAAATTAGGGCTGAACGATTTGGGGAAAATATCTAATTGTGATTTTTCCAACTAATACTGCACCTGCAATTATATTGCGACTTTTAATAAATTGAGATTCAGTCCTGATTCATTTTGGCCAAGAAGACCAGAATATCCATCTTTTTGGCTTGAGGCTCGACCCCTGAATGAACTGTGCGAAACTCCCAGTAAGTTGTGGTTATGATGTCACAACACATGGAGGTTTGATTGCTAATGTACACACTAAAAAAAAAAGGTTGTTCAAGGGTTCTCCAGTAAAGAAAATGGTTCTATATAGAACCATAAACACTCAATGACTCACCTGCATGCTTAAAACATTCTTTGCACGGTGAAATTGTTCTTTAGATTTATGGAGAGTGTGTTGTAAATGGTTCTATATAACACCTTTTTGACAAGGGTTCTATATAGCACCAAAATATTCCTTTACTGTTACAAGCTTGGTATCATAACAATAGCAGAACCCTTTTTGGTGCTATTTAGAACCACATGCAACACATTTCTCCATCAATCTGAAGAACTTTTTCCACCATGCAGAGAACCATTTAAACATGCAAATTGGGTTGTTGAGTGTTCATGGTTCTATATATAATGACTGTCTTTACTAAAGAACCATCTTTTTTTAAGAACTTTTTTAAGTTGCGTTCAAATTGTCTTAAATTGCGATTTCGATATAAAACGATGAATCTTTCAGCCCTACGCCAAATACATCTGGGGTAGTGAAAACATTGGGCAAACTTGGTAAAAAGTTCTTAAAATTAAATTTCCTTTAACTACTGATCTGAAGACCTCTGCTCTGCGGCATTACTCCAAAGTTTTTGGCACCTTTATTTTTAAGATTGTAATTTAGCCGTCCAGCCCAATTTTGCAATTTCCCTACTCTAACACACCAATTAACCTGGAAATAAACCAAGCTGAATCTGGCATTTTTGAGCACGGCGATCACCAAAATCTACTGGACTGACATAGAGGACCCTGCTCTACAGCATCAAGGGCACTTCACATTACCCATCGTCCCTTTCAGCGCCTCCTCTGCTCTCTTGTGCTTCTGCAGGGTGACCTGCAGCTGCCAGTACCTGAGATAGAGCCACATCAGCTTGCCGTTTTTCTTTTTGTCCATGTTCAGCAAGTCTGCACAGTGCCTGTCATTCTTAAATATGTCCCTGAGGTCCTCCTCAAGACCCTAGCTCAGCCCCCAAGGGGTCCTTGGCCACCTTGAGCAGCAGGTTCTTCTCCATCTCCAGCCGGCGCTCCCTGGGAACCAGCAAGCTGCAGAAGGCTTCCTGTCTCTCCACCAGCTGGAGCTCCAGCTCCTGCAGCAGAGCCGTGGCTCTCTGATGCCATCGTTCTTCCCGCTGTAGAGCCCCATTCAAGGCTATCCCAGCAGCTCCAGACTGCAGGGCGCGCCTCTTTTCCTTCTCCAACTCCTCACGCTCTCTTTGCAGCTGCTTGCGCTCCTCCAGGAGCTGCTGGCTCTGACTGACCAGGGCCTTTCTGTAGCCCTGCACCCTCTGCCGCTCCTTCTCCAGCTCCAGCTCAAGCAGGGCAGCTGTCCGGCGGTTCTCAGTCAGCGTGTCTTTGTACTTGAGCTCCAGGTCCCTAGCAAGAGTGGCCATGTCCCGGTCATACTGGACCTTAATTTGCTGGATCTGCCTCTGGGACTCTCGAGTCCAGATCCAACCTGATGGAATGAAAATGTTGAATAGTAAGTTTTAGACATAAAGCCAAAGCCTAAAGGTAAACCTTATACTGACTCAGTGACAGAGGTATTACATGATCCCGGTATTTAGGAAAAGGGCTACTTACGAAAGGCAGCGAGGCCGAGCATTGGCACAAGAAGAGCATAGTTCCATTTGCTTCCATCAGCACCTCCATGTGGGTCTGGCCTTATATTCCATCTAGGAGGATCATTCAGATTGTTCATGGAGACACCCTGTTCAAATGAAAATGAAAGCCATTAGCCTGTACTGATGTGCCCAAGTACAGTGTTTGTAGTGGGCTGAGGGTCAAAAACACATGACAACATAGAGAGAAAAGGTAAGTAGGTCTCAAATCAAGGTTTTAAAAATATACTTCATAACATTACACCATATTTAGCTACTGAAATACATAAAAAGACAAATTTAAAAGGAAAATAAGACTTTATTAAGTTACATATAGGATGTAAATGTTTGTTCTCTCATTGTTTGAGGGCAGATGAGTTAAGGTAACTTTCTGGCAAGCCAAATCAAACATCCTCATACACTCTCAGACATAAAGGTAGTAAACTGTCACTGGGGCAGTACCCCTCTTGTCACTGGGCTGGTACCCCTCTTGTCACTGGGGGTACCCTCAAAGGCACATCTCAGTACCTTTTATTTAGGGAGCATAACTGTGTCGTACACATTTTCTAAGCTGTACTGACTCCACACACCCCGTCTCGTCTCCAGGCTTTTTATTTTATTGTTCTGTTTTAAAACATTCGGTTATGAAAAGGTACAAATACGAAACTTTTCACCTGGAAAAACTTATTTAAGCTACTCAGTTAGACCTTAAAACCACTGTTGTACCTTTGAGGGGACATTTACACTGTATATACCTTGATGAATGACAAATGTACCTGCACAGAACCTTTATTTCTAACGGTGTGAGCCAACTTTGGCCAAGGAGCCACACTTTGGGCAGCCCCAGACTTTAGTATAACTGGCTGTAAATAAAATTTTTCATGTATGTAATGCTTTAACATAAACCCTGCATGTTACATTTAACAATTTATTTTTCACTATTAAGAAACTTAGTCTGCAGTTACGCTATGGAACATAAAATACGCAGTTTTACTAGACAACCATTTGTTATTCATAAGGAGGTTTTAGAGTTGTAAGTAATGGGTTTCAATTAAAACTGACACAATGTTCACACTGAGTCAATATTTATTTCTGAATTGCGACATGTTAGAAATTATTTCATACTAGTAGAATTTACATTTTACATCTCTACAGAGTCCCCTAAGGTGGCGCGGTGATTATTTTTTATAAGGCGTGGCCACAAATTAATATATTGAGGCCACAAATTAAGAAAATTAAGAAAAAATATATATTCATTTCTGGCCACGCCTTATAAAAAAATAATCACCATGTCACCTTAGGGGCTCCGTACATCTCAGTATGTTACTGATGTTAATCATATGTTTACTTGTTCAAATGGAATTTTTAATATAAAAAAAAAACCTTTCACAAAAAGTTGTAACGCGAGAACTGGCTCAACCCAGCCTGCGTGATAGCAAGGAAAACACGAAATCTCGCGAGAAAACGTGGGGGAGGTTGGCACTCGAGTGATATTTTTGACAATGGAGAGTGACACTAACGTAATACGCACAACCACAAAGTGATATTTGGTTTTGCAGGCAGAGTCATTTCTAAAGTCTGTGCACTTTTACCACAGCTGGCCTACAACACTAACAGTACAGTTACAGTCCGTACATGATTACAAACATCAGCCTCAGCTCAGCGCTGCTAACGCCCCGCACTGCCGGGCTAACGCTCAGCTTTTACTCACTTTAACAGCGAATTTCTCACTAACTTATTTTTCATTTCAACTGTTATACATTCATACCGTCCCCACAGACATACTAAATGCACTTGCTCACCTTGAAAACTAAGGGTTTACGTACAAGTCCCTCCTCGATGGTCTGCAGAGTTACGCACAGTGTTGCGCTACGCGACGTAAAGTACGCAATTTTATTAGACGACGCCATTCGTAGTTCTAAAGGGGTGTTGTTGACATAAATGGAGTTTGATTGAAATCGACACGACGTTCACATGAACTATTACAACATGTATGTCTAAATTATACATGCCTTCGTCTTTCAAACTGGGGAAATAGTTTTACGTTTGACAGTGCGGTTGATATAACTGAGTCGATGGATTCCCCCATATTATGCTGCATATTGGTACAGCCCGATGGCCCCAACAGTACACTAAAGCCAAATATTACATTACTAAAACTAAGTGGGAGCTGGGATATTAAAGTTTCAGCATGTCTTCATTATTCAGTCGTTGTAAACGAGATGTAAACAAAGTCATTCAGAGTAGTTCGATATGAAATTACACAGAAACGCACTGACTAAAGCTTTACAACAGGGACAGATTATGATCTCAGGGGCCTCTGGGCACAAGAGACTTTGCCCCATTTGAATTTCACCAGCAATGTCCCATAAGTCAGGGGTCGGCCAGAACATGTTATGTCCATTTTACCATCTTGGCTGTAAATATGTGCTAATGTACTAGTAAAGGCTAAAAAATATAAAAGAAAACACAGACTTCACGTGATTTCAACACATTTGAAAAGCCAAAACACTTTACAAAACCATCAGGAACCAACAGGAACACAATGTTTTCTATGGGTTTTTTCAGCAGGCTAATCATGGGTGATATTTTCTTTTCAGTGGAAAACCTCCTTTTAAATTTTTATGTAGTTATGTAGCAAGTAGCAATCACGGTGAGGGAGATTGCTGAAGGTTTTAAGGACAACATTATTAAAGAACATTCACATTAGAAAGCTATACAGCTAAAGCAAAGGCCTTAGCAAAGGTCAGTACAATTAGTTTGATAATATGCAATCGGGACGTTTGCAGAACCACAACTACTTGTTGCTGGAGAATCTAATCTCATCAGCAAAAATGAATCTGAGAGGAAGACATTTCAGCATTAAATTGACCCCAAACAAACCAAAGCAACTTAAGACCGGTTTCTAAAAAGATGTGTTTGTATTGCCTAGCCATTCACCTGACTTGAACCCCACTGAAAATGTGAAAATGAAAGGGACCTTGAGGAACTGAAAACAGTTTTCCCAAGAGGAATGGGCCAAACCGCAAAGCTAATTACTTCTTACCATAGACATATTGGGGCTGTAATTTCCAGCAAGGGCTTTGCAACAAAATATTAATGCTATTAATTGCAATGCCTGAATACCTTTTTCTGTACCAGTTAAATTTTTAAAATATATCTTTGTTCATGCTTATGAATACATACACTGATCAGGCATAACATTATGACAACCTCCTTGTTTCTACGCTCATTGTCCATTTTATCAGCTCCACTTACTATATAGGAGCACTTTGTAGTTCTACAGTTACAGACTGTAGTCCATCTGTTTCTCTGCATACTTTGTTAGCCCCCTTTTACTCTGTTCTTCAGTGGTCAGGACCCCCATGGACCCTCACAGAGCAGGTACTATTTGGGTGGTGGATCATTCTCAGCACTGCAGTAACACTGATGTGGTGGTGGTGTGTTAGTGTGTGTTGTGCCGGTCTGAGTGGATCAGACACAGCAGTGCTGCTGGAGTATTTAAACACCTCAGTGTCACTACTGGACTGAGAATAGTCCACCAACCAAAAATATCCAGCCAACAGCGTCCTGTGGGCAGCGTCCTGTGACCACTGATGAAGGACTAGAGGATGACCAACACAAACTGAGCAGCAACAGATGAGCTATCGTCTCTGACTTCACATCTACAAGGTGGACTGACAGGGTAGGAGTGTCTAATAGAGTGGACAGTGAGTGGACAGCACAACACACACTAACACACCACCACCATGTCAGTGCCACTGCAGTGCTGAGAATGATGATCCACCACCCAAATAGTACCTGCTCTGTGAGGGTCCATGGGGGTCCTGGCCACTGAAGAACAGGGTAAAAGGGGGCTAACAAAGTATGCAGAGAAACAGATGGACTACAGTCTGTAACTGTAGAACTACAAAGTGCACCTATATAGTAAGTGGAGCTGATAAAAAGGACAATGAGCGTAGAAACAAGGAGGTGGTCATAATGTTATGTCTGATCGGTGCATGTTTTGGTTTAGATGTATAATTACAAATTTAAAATGCATTGACCCTTATTCATCAAAATTCAGTGAGTGAAATCAAGAGCCAGCCTACCAGCACCTCATTTACATATAAATTACTTAAAGCACACCCTAATTCTTGCAGATGTTTCAGTAGGGAGCCAATAAAACGACAGCATTCAGGGGCTCGTGAGCCAGTGACTGTGCTCATGGCAGGAGTCTGAGGTTGAGCAGTGAGCACACTGCTCCCCCTACTGACCAAACTTTCTAGAGTTTAAATTACAGTGACTGGAAAAAATTACATGTGAAACACACAAAGGCCCAATCCCATTTCTTCCTTTTACCCCTACCCCTTGTTTTTGAGTGCCAGAAGTGGTTGAAATCTTGCCCTATGAAATGGGACCCTCAAATTTAAAAAAAAACAAAAAAACGAAAAGAGCATTACTTCATTAACAGCTACTAGCGCTGCTCTGTAGGCAACCCTGCCAGTCTGCAGTGATAACAGAGGAGGGTAAAGTTCAGCTCCTCACTGCTGGGCTTTAGTTACACTTAGGGGATCATATGCCTTCAAAGAGGGGGGCAATTATTTATTATCGCCCACCACTAATTCTTTGGCGATATGAATCTGAAGTCAGATATTCACCAGCTTCTTGTTCATATTTTCCTGTTCCACCTTAAATGGTGCAGCAGTTACATTCTGGTGCTTCAGGCGTCAGAACTGCTGGACTATTTAAGGTGGAATGGGAAAGTTAGTTAGCTAGCTACCAAGACATTAGCATGCTATTAGCAATTTTTTATGCTTGTTATGAAGAAAATGACCATAATACACTGAAAAAACATTAAGCTAAGATAATACAGTGGTTATTATAATTTTTTAACAGAGAAAATTCTCACATTTGTGGGTTTCTTTGGTCGCTTGTTCAGCCATCTTGCTGGTTTTTCTTTTTTTCTCATTACACTCCGTTTGGATTGTGCCTCTGAAAAACTACCGTTTGGAGGGCCATGTAGCCATAACACGTCACCCTGCAATTATTTAAGAAGATCGCAATCATTTTAGTTAACAGCAAACAGATTTGAGTCATATTATGCTGCCACAAACAAAATGTGAATTGGTTGTGTTGATTTAAGGCAAATAAATGTAAATATAAGAAAGCAGTAAGTGGATTCTTTGAGATATCATGGGGCTTATATTTGTTAGCTATATAGCTAATTCCAACATAGCATGTATGCAGGCACAAATAGTAATCTTTTTCTCATATTTTCCACTCTTGTGATGAACATGTAGCTTTGCTTGACTGTACACATAATTCTGTTTACCTGTGCGCAGTAACGGTTCGACAGTACAACCTGTGTTGGCTACTGAGTAAACATAGCCAGCAAGTGGCTAATCAGCCAGTTTGGCCACTTTAGGCCTAAAAGTTGCAAACAATGAACAAGAAAAGACAAGTAAATCATTGTTCAATTGTTTATAATTATTTCTATGGCAATTAACTGTTAGCTAAAGTTTCATGATTGTGACGGCCCTAAGCATGGTGTAATGTTTCGGTGTGGAACTGGACTCTGCGGTTGAGGTGGCAGAGAGAAGGACACTGCACAAACTGCTCTCCATTATGGAGGATGATGGCCACTTGCTGCCCACCATCATCATGGACAAGAGGAGCATGTTTAGGGGCAGGTTGCTGTCACACAGGTGCTCAACTGACAGACTCAGGTGATCCCTTGTTCCGAGAGCCATTAGCCTCTTCAACTCTTCCCAGTGGGGCCAGAAGAGAAGAGAGAAGAGGGAAGAGGAGAGATGAGGACTGAATCTCTCATGATAAATCATAGGTTTATTTTGTCTATCTGCACATATGGACACCTTACTGTACATATCGCAATTTCTGCACACCTTATCACACATCTTGCACATCTGGACACTCCACACCTGGACACTTTAGGCACCTTTATTTCAGTACTATTATACGCACATATTTATTCAGTATTGTCATTATATGCTGTTACATGCGCCTCCTTGTACAGTCATTATTGCACTGCCTTTTTTATCTCAGGTTATAGATCTTATTGCATATTTTTGTATATTTCTATTTGTATATATGCCTATAGATAGGTTTTTGGTATATATTCTTCTATTTATATTGTATCACCCTTATTATTATAACTGTCCTGTGTTGTGTGACTGATACTGACTGCTAAATTTCCCTCGGGATCAATAAAGTATCTATCTATCTGTCTGTCTGCCTGTCTGCCTGTCTATCTATCTATCTGTCTGTCTGTCTGTCTGTCTGTCTGTCTATCTATCTATCTATCTATCCTCATTTATCTGTCTGTCCATCTATCTATCTGTCTTTAAATGGAAGGTGGAGTTGGCTACAGCATTTCTCAATACCAGTCTGCATGTAAAATAAGTACATCCACATTTGTACTGAATTGCCATGTGCACCATTAGTATTACTGTTATTTTACATTTGCATTCTTATTGTTATTATAGATGATCTTGATAATAGTGTTGGTTAGCATTTTCTTCAGGTTGTTAAACTATCATGTATAAATTTTCACACAGACCTGAGTTTGATCATTCAGGTACACCAGAGATGAAATTGATTAAAACTCTGACTGTACATGACTATGATGAGTAAGGGCCGTTCTGTGAAGTGGATATATGTACTATAAGTTTATTAACCCCTTAAATGGCCAGGACCCACCAGCAGGCCCAAAGCTTTATTACACACTTCTATAACTTAAGCATAGCTCAGCCAGTTTGCATCAAAGTCCCTGTAGTTACTGAATAATAAGCCTTAATATGTAAAAAGTCTGGGATTCTAAGGGGTAAAATAACAAAAACAAGTGTCTGAAAACATACTTCCCCTCACTGTAAAGTGACACTGA